GATGTTCATACCTGTGGTGGGTGGGGAAGTTGTCTGGCAGTAAGCTAAATGACAAAGAAAGGAGAATACAATTATTACAATATTTTACACCTGCTATTATTTAATACTGCAACTGTGAACAAATAAAAATTGTCTCATCATATCCGTATTGTTGTCCGGTCAGCCAGCATTTGTTTAAGTAAATAAGAGATTGCAGTAATCTAAATGATGTTTTTTCTACATCTGGCTGAGAGAGGAAGCGTCTTACTCTAGTGGAGAGTCTGGTCAGGCTTCTGGACAGACAGACGTAATGAAGATGTGTTTCCTGCTGCTGAGACATTAAGCACTAATGACAAGAATCTCTGTTTTTGTTGTTGTTGAGTTGCAGGAAACTCTTTCAGTCAGGGCTATAATGTCAGGGAGGTAAAGGTGCACGTATACTCCATCAGAACTGCTTGTTTTGGTTAAATAGCTGTGGAAACTCCCTTCTCCCACACCTTTACAACATCAGAATTGGAGAGGCTGCTGTGTCTGACCATTTTTCTAAACTGACAGTCCGTCATTCACTCCCACTTTATGCAATCATTGGCCGACTGTGCGGAGATGTAGAAGGAAATACCTCATATCAAGAGCAGAAGAAGATTGTAACACTGTACAGTCAGTGATAATTCAGTCAATTTGTTTCTGAAGGTCTTTTGTTGAGAAAAAGTATTTGTGCATTTCAGCGTGATGCAAGATGCTTTTCAGTAGTAGTTGGGATCACTGAGCTTTGATGGACATTATACTCACAGTTGTAGTCAGAACAGCAGTTTCCTTGGTATCGGCAAGAGCTTGTGCAGGAGCAGCTTCCCAGGAAGCTGCCACACTTGTTTCGACATGAGTACCGAGACACATCTGAGAGAGAGAGAGAGAACATTCAGCAATTGATGATATAGTTTCCTCTTTTGCATGTGGGTTGTTGAGAGGTTTCCATACCTGTAGTTGGTCTAACAGGTCTAGTTGTTGGCTGGCAGGTAGCTACATGATGGGAAGAGAGAAAAAAGTGCCCCAGTAAAACTGTGTACAAACATCATGATATTTAATCTGCAACTGTAGACAAACATTGTAATCACACCATGTCCGTATGAGCACTGAGGGATTTGACAGACTTCAGCACGAGAGAGATGTTGTTAACGCTGTTGATTTGTGTGACTTGGCACTTACAGTGGTAGTCATAGCAACAGGTGCCATAGTATTGGCAAGAGCTTGAGCAGGAGCAGCTCCCCATGTGGCCCCCGCAGTTGCTATAACACGAGGGCCGAGCTGTGAGACACGGGGTGACCGGTTACAGTATATAGGAGGTGTTACAAGTGCTTCAAGGTAAATTATCTTTAGCGTGAAGGGTTTTTATACCTGTGACGGGAGGTCTCTGAGTAGAGGTTGGGCAGAAATCTACATGACAGAGAGAAACAAATGAAGTTTAATCCCTGTTGTAGTGGCCATTTGTCCAATAAATCAAAATAAAACAAACAATAATCAAAGGCCACTGATGCACCGGTTTGTAGTTTACGCAGGCAGAAAAGAGTTGAATGTCCATACAGGATTCAGATTTTTCTTATTTATTTTGTAAACAAAACAAAAAGAAGAACGAAACCACCTGTCACTGTCTCTCTTACGCTGTCTCTCCTGTGCTGGTAAAACACTATAGGCCCACCCCGGTGCATGCTGGTCCTACCTACCTACTCCTATATA